CCCCCCCTCTCTCTCTCTCTCTCTCTCTCTCTCTCTTCCTCTCCAGTCCCCACCCCTTCCACACACACACACACACACACACACACACACACACACATGAATCGTTTGCCGGGCCTGGATGAGGCGGACACCCCCGCCGGCCCCCGCAGCCCGTTGGATGCTCTTTTTGATCGGCCCACCCGGGACGAGTGGTCGGCGGCCTCCTCCGGTGCGACAACCATCTGCCCGCCAGGCCCCTTGCCGAAGGCCTTGCCAGCCAGTTGGCGGGTCACCACGGCTAGCCCCTCCATGACGGCTCCCCCCACGAATGCCATCCTGGCCTCGCCGGGCTCCAGGCCATCAGTCGACCGGGCCATCACCGATGTCCACCAGAGTGGCGGGCAAATCCCAACCACCCCCTCGAGACACAAGCGTGCCTCCTCCCCGGCAGCCGCCCTGGCCACCCCTCCGGCCCGGCCTCTGCCCCGGAGCCCATCCATTGATGCCCTCGTCCCCACCATTATTGACGCGCGGAAGCGCCCTCGCCCGTCCGACCCCAGTCCCAATCCCCTGGCGCTGGCTCTCGGACCCTCGACCTCCCAATCGGAAGCCGCCGCCGGAGCCCATCCCCCGCCGCCGGCAGCCACCAAAGCCCTCTCCTCCCAGCCCTTGCCCCCTCCCCCCACCATGGCCACTGTCGCCGGCATGGCCACCAGCTCCCTCGCCGAGATGCTCCCGATGGCGGACTTCCACGCCACCCACAGCAGGGTCCCCCCCATCGAGCCGATGGCCACCGTCCTCGCCTCCTCGCCAGCCGCGGCCACCCCCCCGGCCGTCCAGTCACTCAAGTCCCTGATCGGATCTTGGTCCCCCTCGCCCGACCGGGGCTCCGGCGTGCCCGATGGCTCGCCGAATGCCACCTCCACGACCGGGGCCGCCCTGGACCCCGGGCTACAGGCCCTCGCGCCACATCTGATTGTCCTGCCGGCGGCATCATGGCAGCGCGTGTGCGCCATCGCGCCCATGTTCAGCCGGCACATCGGCCAATTGGCTCGCACGTCGGCCTTCACCGCCGGTGCCGATGCCGCCGTAGCCAGCCCGGACTTCGGCTCGCATGACTTCCCCACCGCGGATCCCCTCCACTCGCTCGTCTGCTTGACCCGTCTGACCGAGGACCTGCTGAAGGAGCTGATGGCCGCCGAGCCGCGCTCGCTGTCGGATCTGCTGGCCCGCCAGCGGGCCACCATCGGCGCTGGCACCGGCCGGCCTGCCTCGCCTGCCATGCCAGCCAACGCCCCGGCCGACGGTGGGTCCAACCCCGCTGACCTCCTCCGTCAGCTTGCCTCCTCGCAGGAGCTCTTGCCTCGGTTCCCGGCCAACATGGCGCCCCACGATCTGCATGTCGACCCTGCCCCGGAAGGCGGCCCTGCCCCGGTGGACGAGCAAGCCTTGGTCCATGTTGCCCCCCAGCTGGATGCCTTCCCTCCAACACCGGATGATGCCAGTTCTCCAATGATCCTCCGACGCATCAGGTACCTTGCTCCTTTTCCTGTTCCCCCCCCCCTGGAAAGTCGCTGCCGGAGGCGCAAGAAAAACAAACCCAAACAAAACAACAACAGGCAATCCCCCACTCCAACAAACACTCACCCCCGCCTCTTCCCGCCTCCCTTCGCCCCGGGCGCCTGGCTGCCATCGCCGCCAGTACCAATTTCCTGCCCAACGCCACCTTCCGCAAGCCGCGCGAGCTGCTGGTCGCCCCGATCAATGCCGATCCCCGGTCGGCCTCCATGAAGTACATCGCCATCACCGATCTCGACGGCCGCCTGGCCTTTCGCAGTGTCTCCGGCACCCGGCTCCGGTCGGTCTTCAGCGCCTCGACCGTCGGAGCCGACATGACCAGCGGATCGGACGGGGCTCGGTGGATCGAATCCGCCGCCTGGATCGATGGCGGCCACACACTGGCATGTGCGCTCGAGGTCGGCCGCGATGAGAGCACTCCCAAGAAACCGCTGCCCGGAGGGGCTGCCAGCGCCAGCGCGGTCAACACCCGCCTCGCATCGCTGGCCATCTGCCCGGCCACGCAATTGGTGCGTTTCCTCCTCTTCTCTCTTTCCCCCCCACTCCCGGGGGAGAGGACACTACCCTTCAGGCCCCCCTTCCGGACATGCCTTCGTCCATATTTACCCCCCTCCCCCCCCCTCCTTGCCCTCTCCCGAACTGGTGGCCAAAATGCAGCTCGATCGCAAGGGCTCCACCCAAAGCAAGGAGACATCCCCCTCGGCGCCCAAAAAACGTCGAACCGTGCAGTTTGTCGGCTCGGGGGGCTCGGAGTCGACCGAGCCCCCGCGCTTTATCACCCTCAACGGGGTGCTTTCGCGAGCGGGCGGCCCGGTTGAGCGAGCCGTTCGTGTGTGTGCTCTACCCTCCTCCGACTCACATGTTAACTTCCTGGCCGCATCCGACGCGCACCAGCTTGTGCGTTTCCCCCTGCTGCCCCCTGTCTCCGAATTGCCCCCCGCATCCTCTCCAAGAGGGTGCCCATTCCCGCCTGCGCGCTTGCATATCCTGACCGTGCCTCTCCCCGGCTTGGCGTTGCCCGGCAGCATGCGGTGCGCGTCCGGCGCGATGCCATTGGCCACCGGTCTTCCCTGTCCGCCGGCGACCGGGACACCCTGGAGTCCATGCCTTTGCGCCTGTACCGGTCGCACACGTCCAGCATCCGTGGCCTGGCCCTGGCGGCCGACGGGGCGACCGCCTTTTCCGGCGGCTCCGACGGGCGGATATTCGCCTTCGATGTTGAGCGCTCCACCTCCTCCAGCACCGAGACCGGGCGCTTTGGCGATGGGCTGGTGGCCGAATGGAGCCTCGGCCAGCGTGTCGGCAATCTCGTCGCCTACCCCACCAACCGCCACATTCTGCTCGCGTGGTATGCACCCATCTCCGGCCCGGTATTGGTTCGCCCGCCCCTTTCTGACCTCTCTCTCTCTCTCTCTCTCTTTTCTCCCGCCCCCAGCATGTCCGCCTCGTCCAATCAGCTCCGCTTCATCGACCAGCGTGTTGCGCCTCGGCTCCCGAGTGATGCCCATTCTTACAGCACCCCCGAGGGAGAGCTCGTCTTCAGCTGGCGCGACGGCGAGGGAGAAAACCTATCCATGTACATATGCCCCGCCATCAGCCCCGATGGGAATTTGGTGGCCTGTGGCACATCCAGCGCGCTGATTCGTCTGTGGGATGTGCGCAACCCACGCGGCACGATCGGCGTTTCCCCCGGGGCCCACTCCAGCATGACCATCCCCTCGGAGGATCCTTCCTCCGACTCCTTCCGCGCCGGGGTCGCCTTCAGTGCTTCACACAAGCGCCCGGTCGTCCGTGTGGCCTTCCACCCCCACAAGAATATCCTCTTCTCTCTGAGCACCGACCGCGGTCTGGCCTCCAACAGGCTGATCTTCCAGTGACCTTGGCCCTGCATATGCAGCATTCTCATGTTGTTGCTGTTGTTGCTGCTGCTTTCCCCTTATCCCGCATGCCAGGGGCTGTCCTTGTCCTTCTACGTGTCTCGAAAAGACACACCTAGATTTTTGTGTGCCGCACGCGCAAATAATAATACACACACATGTACGCTCGCACGCCGCACGCATGCTATCCTCCTCTTGTCAGATCCGCGATCCGTCCGTCCGATCGAGTCGATCACCTAAAAGAACGATCACATGACCCGCGACTAGTTCTCTGGCGCCCGCTAGCCCCATCGGTTAGCCCACCGGCCTGCATGCCCCTCCCCCTCCCCCCCCCCGGTACTCTGTGGCTTGTGCGCCGGTGTTCTTGCTCGGCTTTTCTTGTGCGTTGGGAGGGGGAGGGACGGGGAGGAGGTCTAGTCGCCCGTCAACTGGAGCTGGTGAAACAGCCACGGTCGAGATCGAACAGCCGCCTTTCAAGGACCGGCAGCCAGGAGGATGGCTTGACTGGCCAACTCGTCCCCCCCCCTCCTTCCTCCTGCCGCTCCGGCTCTCCTCCTCCCCCTCCTCCTCCTCCTCCTCCTCTCCGATCCCCCCCTTTTGTTTGCACCCTCGCCATGGCCGACAGGGCCCCGGTCGCCGCTGGCGCCTCTTCTCCGGATGCCGATTTGAGCGAAGCCTTCTCCGACAAGACACGCCCCCGGCGCTGGGGCGCCCTGCTGGCTTTCATCCTCTTCTCAGTATTGACTCTGGTCCCAGCCTACTGGGTGACGATGACCGTGTCGCGCGATGCGCAGTTCATCCCCTCGGCCATGGGATTGGCCGAGGAGGCCACTGCCCTGCAAGCCGACCTGAAGCTAGTCACCCTGGTGGTTCGGGCGCCAGTGTCCGCCTGTGAGAACGCCGTCACGCGCTTTAACCAGCGTATCCCCCCTGAGCGCCGGGCCTGGCTCCGCCTGCGCTGCTACGCCGAGCGCCCTGCCCTGGCCATGGGTGCGTCCCGCCCGTCAGCTAGCCTTCTCTTTTCCCCCCTCTCTCTCCCTTTCGCTCGATCATGCACGACAATATTTGGTGACCCTGACCATCGGGTGGCCCATCGCGCCCTTTGTTCGCCGGCCCTGCGGTAATGGAAAATACCCAGAGCGCTTTACCACCCCGACGTTGTGGGAAATCGCCAGCCAGCAGGACCCCCACCTAGCCGCTGGGCAGTGGCGTGTGACGCTCGAAGATACGCGGCACTTCGTCCTTCACCACCCGCCTGGCGCCAGCCTGGGTACGGCATTCCTGCTCCCAGCTCCCGCCCTCTCCCCCTCTTCCTGTTCCGGCCTGCCATTCGCTGATAGTGACACCTCCCGGCGATTAGACCACCCGATCGAGCAGACTCTGTTGAGCATCTTCAATCAGGCGGCACCGCCGATCGCCGGCCCGGCCGCCTCCGGCGATGCCATCGATCTCATCCTTGCGGATTCAGTGGCTCCGGCTCCGCAGCCCGGTGACGGGTCCCCAGCTCGAGTCCATGTCTCGATCAGCCTGCTGGGCCTCCCCGTGCGGCCGGAGGCCTCGTCCATGGATGCCGCCCACGGTATGTACCCTGCTCGTTGCGCTTCTGGAGCACCTTCATCCCCCCCCCCGTTTCCCCTGGAATGGGCCCATTTCTTTGTGGTCGATTGTGCTGACATTTCGCTTTGGTCAGCTTTTGTTGATGACCTGGTCGGTATGGCCCGCGGCTTGGCCACTCTGTCAAGCTCGGTCAACTACCGGTTCCATGCGCCGTTGGCTGTGCGCCCCGCCGCTCCTACGGCCGCTGGCCAGCCTTGGACCATCAACGCCGCCGATTTGGCGGCCTTTGTCAACATTGGCGAATGGGGTCTCAGTGCGTAAGAGCATCGCCATTGGACGACTGCCCTCCCAAACAGCCCTTCTCCCCTGCGCGTCTCTCGTCCCCGTGCTTGGCGTGTTCACTCACTCTCTCTCTCTCTCACACACACACTCTGTCTCTCTCTCCCTCACACACACACACACACACTCTGTCTCTCTCTCTCCCTCACACACACACACACTCTGTCTCTCTCTCTCTCTCACTCACTCACACACACACACACACACCAGATGATGCTCTGGATTGCCCACGCACTCTGCACTTCGTCGCACTCATCCCGCCGCCGCGCTTCCAGCCGCTGGGCTTCCAGCCGAGCGACTCGGCCACGGCCCGTGACAATATCCTTTTTGTCCCACAATGGGGCGTCCTGGTTGTGATCAACCCCCCGCCGGCCGGGGCCGATCCCCAAGCTGGGCCCGAGTACCAAGACTGGGTGGACGCCACTCTCCGCCGAGTGGCGGGAGAGGTCTTTGCCCCGGCCGGTCGGACACTTTTGGGCCTGGCCCCCCCGGCAGGCTTCGCCCCCTCGGCGGGCATCCCCGACTCCCCTCAGGGGCGCGCCTTCGAGCGAGAGGCCCTGGCTGTGCGGCAGCTGCTCCTGGCCACCGAGGCGGTTGCCAGCCGGTCGCGCGCGGCTGCCGCCCTGGCCGAGTACCTTTCCACGGGGCCCATCTCCCCCGGAGCCACGCGCTTGGTGGAGCTGGCCCGATCCGATGTCCGCGCGGCACGCGACCGCCTCGCTGGTGGCCCGGGCTCGGCGGTGATGCCTCCCCCTGGGGCGGAGGACCCCGCCGGGCTGGACCTCCTTCTCCAGGCACTGGGACATCTGCGCGCGGCGGCCCGCACTACTGGCCTGGCCTCGCGCGATCCAGACACCCTGTCTCCCAGCCCGGCGGCGCACTTCGCCACGCCGGCTGCCGCGGCCACGGTCTACGTGCCTCTCTTTGCCCCGGCCGCCGTGCCGATTGTTGCCTCGCTCATTGGTCTGCTCGCCAAGTATCTCCGCTCTCGGAGAGCAGCACGCACCCAGTGACATAAACACGTGACCTCCCCATCTGCCGCGAGTTCTTTTGTTCCCCGCCCGGGGGGGGGGGGTGCCAGACTTGGGTCCGAACCACACGACGCACGCCATTCTCCTTCGCTTCTCCGGCCCCGGGGCGCGACGAAACATGGAGGACTGAGTGCCTCTGGGGGGGAGGGGGAGGTTGAGCGACCAAGAACAGCGAGATGTGTGGGTCCTTGTCCGCGAGTGCCGCGCGGAGGTGCGGAGAAATGCCAGCGTCCCACAGAACATCGCCCCGTGGCAAGGCGCCGGATTGGATGCAGCGGCTCCGACTCGACCGGCGCCGCGGTCTCCCCTTTTCCGATGTCTCCAGGGCGGCGACGCCAGCACGACACAGGACCGCCACGCATCGTGCTCGGTGTTCCGACGGCCCCTCCCACGAAAACAGGGGCGCCCCGGGGTCCTGCCGCCGTTGCCTCTGGCGCCACGCCAGTCTGAGCCGAACCCGCGCTGCGAGGAGAAAAACAGCCCGGCAGCGTGAAAATGAGCCTCTGCGGGGACGACGCCTCCCCGGGGGGCGGGGAGCGGGGGGGGGGGGGGGGGGGCAGGCGACTGAACTCCAGTGCCAGGGTCGCCCGGTTGATGCCAGACTTCAGGCTTGAGGAGGAGGAGCCGGGGGGGGGGGGGGGTGCGCGGGAGGATGGGGGCCCGGGGGGTGTTGGTGTGTTTGTTGGGCGGGGAGCGGGGGGGGGGGGGGGGGGGGAGAGCATGGACAACGGGGTCAGCGGCCGGG